AGTTCCATTAAAGTTACTTCTAGTACACAAACGGCAGTCTGGGCTTAGGCTCCAGTTCGCGGATGAGCTTCTGAGCGTCAGGCTGAAATATTTCAACTAGACTCTGTAGCTTCTATATCATATATAAGTGCTCAGGCTGAAACTCTTCTGGTATAGGTTGCTTAGGCTCTAATAGCCATGACGACGATTGATCTTGAGAAGAAATTAGGCTAAGACATTCACAGTTTCGGCACGAGGGAGAATATTCATAGCCACATTACAATTAAATGTCGACTTATCGATAACTTACACAATAGCTGCAGAGAGCTATCGGATATGTTGGTCACCTTATGGTAAACATTCAAAGCAATAGAATGTCAATGTAAATATCTGCTCATCTATCTATTACTATCAATAAATGTCGACTTATCGATAACTTAACACGCAGCCATATAGAGCTATATGTACATAGTATCGCTCATAGTTGGTCACCTTATACATAGTAAACATTTATAGTAATAGAATGTCAAAGTAAATATGAAAAGTTAAACTATCTTCCCATCTATCTATCACTATAAATAAATGTCGAATTATCGATAACTTAAATCACAGCCACAGAGATCTATAGGATATAGTATCGCACATATTTGGTAGCCTTCTACTTAACATTCATAGCAATAGAATGTCAAAGTAAATATGAAAAGTTAAGCTATCTTCTGCCTATCTGTGCGTCCGTCCGGTCGTCCGTCCGTCCATTTGACTGTCTAACTGTTGGCTATTTAGAAGAGTCTTAGCACACATGGAAGTAAACACATGTCAAGTGGCTTAAAGTCTTGTCTCGAAGCTAGTTCGCAGAGCTTACGAGCATGGATTAGGCAAACACACTCAAAGCACTCTCTCTCTCTCTTTCTCGCTCTGTCTCTGTCTCTGTCTCTCTGTGGGTTTTGACTAAACGGTGAAGCTTCATAATTCGGCAATTCGTTTGCTGCTGGCATTAAGAGCTGCTAATTAATCAGTCAATACACCACAGAGCCCACACACACACACACACACATATACGGGCATACCGCAGGCCACATGCCCAACTCCCTTGGGTAACACGCATAAATCTCAGCTTTGCGAGGGAGGGGGGCGAGCAGGCAGAGGAAAGACAACGCATCGTATGAGTTATGTCAAATGCAGACTAACTGAGAGACTGAGAACTGCCGCCAGAGCTGCCATCATTAATAATATTTTTAGTTTGTCCCTGGCTGGGTAGCCGGAAGCGGGAGGCGTGGCTGTAAATGGGCAGCACTCGCTCGTTGCTCTAACAAATGGTTTCAGCTCCGTCGCATGCTGCAATTAATCAAGAAGACAAAAATCTGGCAGCGCCCGCGGTCAGAGTTGACATTCCAGCTATCACATAAGGTGTGTATATCGATATTATGACGATGACGATGACGATGACAAAGATGGGGTTTCGTGTGTGCATATTATGTCAACTTAAGTTGCCTCACATGCAAAATGCCTTCACTTCAACTGATTCAGCTGCGCTTGTGAGTGTGTGTGTGTGTGGTTGTGAGTGTGCGGGTGTGTGTGTGTCAACTGCCTGTTAAGCTGCCTTAACCCATTTTGCTTGCAGGCAGGAGAGAAAAAAAAAAAAAACAACAGTTTATTGCCTCATATTAAGCTCACATCGTACTCGAGTTAATGCAAATTTCAATGCCTTTACCGGAGTAAAATGGGAAGCAAAATGCTTTAAGGCCTTTGACGTTGCCTTTGACTGGATCAACAATATATATAGCATTTCGAATTGATTTAAGTAAACATTCCAAATTTACAGACTTTCATTGAATGAATTACAGGATATTTATATTGCATTATCGATAGGTATCGATGGCACTCCACGCATTGAATACGATATCTATTTGCTTGTGAGGTATTTAAGTCCATAAATAATTTAATATCTCAAATTATATTTCCTACTTCTACAGCCATTGCTCCTATCTTATCTTATAAAATGACATTGAAAATTTGATTGGAATCTAAGCTGATTGGTCTCCAAATGTGCAACTAATGTTGGTCTTAGAAGACATCTCATGACCCTGTCTCGCTGACTCCCATCAGTGCAGCTTCATCAGCAGCTGATCAGGCACCTAGCCTAGCTTCTAAGGACTGTTTACCCGAGAATCTGTTCTAAAAGCTGCTTACACAACATCTGGCCAAGCGCTCTCTCTTACTCTTTTCTAGGCTCTTATTTAGCTGCTTTAACTTAAACGAAAATTGATGCAATATATATATATATATTTAGGGCTATTGAAGATATCGAGCACAGAGGGCGCATAGCTCAGAAAAAGAACCAGTTATAAAGTATCAGAGCTAAAGTTCAAGAGAATATTTGATCGACTGTTAGTCTCCATTCGATAGACTTTAAGTTAAGATGCGGTTCGGTAGGGCTAGGGGGCGATGCCGTTTGAGTTCTAATGTATGCCCAAAAGAGGTTTAAGCTGCATTACCTAGACACCTATGGAGACGGTATCGGTAAGGGTAAGTGTTATGTCTGTCGAGGTACTCAGTTCCATCTCTTGAATTCTTTCTTCGATTTCTGACAGCTTATGCAAACTGAGGCACCATAAGATTAATGTTTCAATAAACTATAATAATTTAACTATTAGTTTTGTTTTCAAGCTAGAATCTCCAATCTATTAGAAGAGAATTCTAGCATTCATCTTATTGGGGAAACATTTATTTGTATTATGCTTGAAGAAAGTCAACTTCTCTACTACCTACAGGGTAGTTGCCAGTCAATCATACATTTCATTTGAAGATATTGCTTCAGATTATTAACTGTAAATAGGAATATGAAATTTGCTGTGGTTGCCATGTGAAGCATCGATGGGCGCACATTTCGAGCCACAAATGCGAGTTGGTGGCTTAAGCTTGTTTGACCAACTTCTAAGGCGAACACACGCACAAACCCACAGACAGAGACGAAGATAGAAACGGAGAAAGAGATGGCAAAGATGCCCCAAAGAAATTAAATTATTTGTTAGCAGCAAAACGTGTGGCAGCAGCACGCGACGACTGAAGTGAGTCGATGAAGGGCATCTAGAAAAAAAAAAAAAACGAGCATGACAACAAGGACACACAGATTACATAACATACACACAGGCATACACTGACTTATATATATTTATATATACATATTTATGTGTGTAATATATGTATATATAGATGGGGGCAACAAGTGAAAATCCATTTGTTAGAGGAAATCGTGCAAAAAGCTTAAATACAAAGCTTAAACATAAGTAGCAGCAAGCAACCCACACACACACACATATGACTGACCCGGCTGCCAACCACACACACAAACACACACATACACACACACAGCTCAAGCATTTGGTTATGCATATGTGGAGCAGGGACTTAGGCTGGGGCCAAAGCCTAAATGAAGCTGCCTTCGTTTGCCTTTTTTGTTGTTGTTGCTGATGTTGTTGTTGTCGTTGCTGTTGTTGTTGTTGTTGTTATTGCTGCCTTCACGTCTTACCTTTTAACGTGTTTTACCGTTCGTTTCTTCTGTATGGCAGCCTTCGTACAAAATGAGCAGCCACCCTATCCCTCCCCCCTCCATTCACCATCTCTTTTTCCATCACTCTGTGTGCATACGGCTCGTCTCCCTTGGGTAAATTTTCGTATTTAAAATATATGACCAAGAAATGTTAAAACATTATTTTTTAATTTTATATGTATAAGCACAGAAATTGGTATTTTTCCTGAGCTTTAAGAAAGAGTTGAGTTCAGTAATGCGTGTTTTTTCTCTTTACGTGTACTAAGTTCCTTCTGGCATTAAACAAGCAAGCGAAGGGTCTTAAGCATTGCGAGAATGGAAATCGGAAATTGCCGAAATTTGCATTGGATCGTAAACGGATACACTATATAAAGTATTATGGGTATGGATAAAGACGGATACTAACAAATAGAAGACGTTTAATATGTTGCAAATATAAGACTGAAAGCAAATGAAAACGGATAAAGCTAAAGATCGTAGATTTCACGAATAAGCTTCTGTATTTTGTTTAGTTCCACATTTTTACAGCCGGATAAATCTGGATAATTTACGATATACTTGTCCACAACTTTAATATATGTTGTAAGTATATCCTATTCTATTTTAACGTAAAATACTATAGCCGGATAGTCACGGATAAAGTAAAAAATAATATAAGTTAAGGAACCGAATGCATTAAATTAAGGCAAATTCAAAATTTATGTTTACCTAATTTTATCACACTATGATAACGCCGGATAAATCTATGATTAACTTACCAAATGTATAAAAATTAGGTTCAAAATTGCTGACTATGTATTTCAGTCAAACCAACTCGGATAAATGCGATAAATATAAAAACTTTGAACACATATCATTGATAGAAAACAGTAAATATTGATCCATAAAAACAACTGCTTTGATAACGTAATGTGTTGACTGTAGAAGGAGGTGGGGTGTGATGATTTCATTATATCGGATAATTCCAATGTACCTTGAAGCGTGCTTCACGCGACCATAGGAGAATCGTAATCGAGTTGCTCTGGCGTCCAATCTACAAGCCGAAAAGTATTTACTTGATATCAAATTGATATTTTCGATATGTCCAATTGCATTTATAAAATCTTAAATGGGGCCATAAAGTCAATATCAGTCAATAAACAATATTCAAAAATAATACAAAAAATATTCTCCATAATCAAATAATTAACTGATACTCTACAATTTCTAGTAGATGGAGTCAATAGAAAATTGGTCTATAAAAACTAGATTAATTGTTATATTTTTATATCTATATAAACTATCGACTCCACTTGAATTCCGTTTTCTGTGAGTATCAAGAAGTCCATACGTATACTACGATGTGTCACACACTTTAGCACAAGTTGGTTTTACCCTGAAGTAGGGTATACAGTATTGTTGCCAAGATCGATTAGATATAAATGTGTTGGGCTGGTGGATTTCAGTTTATAAAAAGGTTCTACAGCAGCAATTGTGTCCCAGTCGAAAGGTACTAACTAAAGCAGTAAACAGCAATCGGGATATTCAATCCAAATGGCCAAGACTGTCACAAGAATTAACGGGCTGTGGCAGGCGCTGCTGCTACTGTCGACTGCAGCCGGGATTAGCCACCAGGTAAGCCAGTTGCTCGGATAAAAGTAAGCAGCTAATCTCAAGATGGGTATTTGCAGGCGTCCATCCGTGAGGAGCGAGCCAGCGAGGACTTCTATACTGCCGCCGTTGTGGAGTTTAGTCAGGCTGATGGGACCGATCTGACGGCGAATCTGGCGGATAACTTGGCGGGGTATCTGGAGCTCATCAACTCGCCAAATGCCACTGGGGCGGATATCATGGTCTTCCCTGAGATTACTCTGAATACCATGGAATCACTTACATATGTGCCTCCACCCGAGAAAAATGCAACTCCCTGTCTGGACGACCCCTCGGCCGAATACTATCATCCCTTCTTTGTGGAGATCTCCTGCGCCGCTCGTAAAGTCAAGCGATACATTGTGATCAACATCAACGAGAAACAGCTCTGCTCCGATACGCCCGAGGACACGCGTCCTTGTGCCTCTAATGGACACAATATCTTCAATACGAATGTGGTCTTCGATCGGAATGGAGCTGTTGTTTCCAGATATCGTAAGGTTCACCTCTACTTGAATGAGCCTCGGAACACGACAGCTCTACCGGAGGTCGTCACCTTTGACACCGACTTCAATGTCACTTTCGGGCATTTCATTTGCTTTGACATTGCATTCTATGTTCCCACCCTTGAGTTGGTCCAGAAACATGGCGTTCGGGACTTTGTCTATTCAATAAAGTGGCATTCGCAACTGCCATTCTTCACAGGTAGATACTTTATCTTACTAGCTTCGTTGCTTTCTTTGTATTTCATATTCTTATATCACTATCTCATTTATTTTTTTCCTTACACTACATTAAAGCTCTACAAGTGCAGCTGGGCTGGGCTTATGCCAACGATGTGAATCTTTTGGCAGCTGGTGCCAGTCGCATAGAGTACGGCAGCACCGGTTCAGGAATCTACAATGGAAGGAAGGGAACTCTCACGAGTGTAATAAAGCTGACTGAAAACGAACGCCGCATCTACGTGGCCCAGGTCCCCAAGTACAAGAGAACAGAGCAAAGGCGACAGCATCGAACCGTTAGTCAGATGCGGAAACATGTACGGCAGCCCACACCAGAGCAGAAGACCCAGACAACCAGCTCAGGATTCGTGATGACTCGGGACTATATCGAGCAGTACAATACCACGTGGCTAGATCAGGAATTGGCGGGCAGTGCGAAAGCCGAAGTTTGCCATGGAAAGCTGTGCTGCCACTTTGAGCTGGAGTGGAGCCCATTAGATACCGAAGTAGGCAATAAAAACAAATTCGGCTATCGCCTAGGCGCCTACGATGGCTGGCGAAATCAGCCAAATGTAGATCCCAACTATGTTCGCAACTGCGGAATCTTCGCTTGCAGCGGAGTTACTCTTGACGATTGTGGATATATGTTGAGCCCAGATCAACTACGCCTCAACTTAAGCCGAATACTTATTGAGGCCAAATTTCCGAAGAGTCAAGAGATTCTACTGATGCCAAACAGTGTAAGGGATAATCTATTGCCCCTCGAGCCGTCGCAGTTCGAGTGGTCCGTTCAAGAGGAGGAAGACAGGTGAGCTAGAAAGATTTGACCATTAGGATATTGAGTAGCTAATTCTCTTCTCTTCAGCCACATGCTGAATGTTCGCTTTGCACTGGCTAAAACCGAGTCGTTGTCCAACCTGTTGTCCTTCGCTATTTTCGGAAATTACTACGATGAAGTTTGTACTTATGGCGCGGGCTCACCGGAGAAGGATCTTGAATGTGGCTATAAGCCCACTGGCGATGGCGCTGCAGAGCTGCGATTATTCAGCAGTTGGCTGTATTTGCTTCTGGCTATGAGCACCGCATTCTACCTTAGAAATTAGTGAGATTATTTGTTTCTTTTTTTTTTTTTAATTTATACGACGAGCAGGCTTTTTTAAAGTCTAAAATCAATTAAAAATTTGAAATGTTTATAGCTTGATAAGTATGAATAGGCCTAATCAAGAAAATGGAAAGAAGTTAAGTCTTGGGATAGGTCTTAAGTACTAAACTTTTCATACAGAATTTTATACTTTCTACTTTATACACCGTTAATAAAATATATGTGGCTCGATTTAATCAAAGACTGTTTTGAGTTATAGATAAAGCTATTGAAGTCTTTTTATTATTTAGCAAATTACAGTCATAAACTTACAATATCGCAGCTCTAGGCTTATTTATCTGTGACTTTCGTTGGGTAGGACTGATAGGAAGAACTATAAAAATTGTATGCCATTAATATTTATCATATTTTTAAAGTGCGAAGTTGGAAAATATTGATTTTTGAATAACTTGAATTATAACCGTCTACTCTTGTGTATGAATGCTTCGATCTCAAGAACCTACAAGAGTTAGAGACTTGGTACTTGCTTTGTAGGTACTGCTTTAGCATGCGCTGAACGCTTTTCCATTTAACGGTGGATGAACCTTATCGATATTAAGCTATGATATTATCTTGTGGAAGATCAGTGAGATCAGATATAAGAAAATGATCTGGTTACCTAGCAGAGTCCCAACTATAGCGTAATGCTTTTATATGGAAGTTCAGCTTTAAGAGAATTCAGTTGGGCTCAGAACTTACACTGGAGTACGCTGCCATGTAATGGGCAGTTCACCCCGTTAATTACCCCAGTAAATTAACGTAAACATAGAAAGACCACTTACGAGAGTCGACATCAACAATCTGCGCCATAACGAGCATCATCGGATGTCTCAACATAGACTATGCAAGTCCGACTGTCGTGCGCTCAGTTTAGAGCACTCTTCTCACTTCTTAAGACCTCACTGAAGAATATTTGAATGATGTGTCACTTTGCCTTGTGGTATCGATCCCCTTTGTATTATAACTTTATGACACAGCCGAAATAACTAGATAAGATTTTTTTATTTAACTATAATATTTTTTTTTATATTACTTCCAAGTGCCATATTGTGGATAAAAAGAATAACTCATTTTATGATAAGTTAGATTTCTCACACGATATTATTGTTAAAGCTGATTAGATTGATAAGTTTCGCATATTATAAAAGAGGCATCCCACCACCGAAAACAGCGCAGTCGATCCTTTGCCAAGACTCGAGGCAACATCAAATCTAATCGGGAGCAGATACAGAGACGAATGGCAAAACCTATGATAAAAGCTTATACGCTGTGGCAGCTAGTCCTGCTCATGTTGATTGGAGTCCAAATAAGTCAGCAGGTAAGCTTGGTCAGCCTTGATGGGATTTTCGACTCCCCTAATCGACGGATTGGCCTTTGCAGGCGTCCATCCGTGCGGAGCGAGCCAGCGAGGACTTCTATACTGCCGCCGTTGTGGAGTTTAGTCAGGCTGATGGGACCGATCTGACGGCGAATCTCGCGGATAACTTGGCGGGGTATCTGGAGCTCATCAACTCGCCAAATGCCACTGGGGCGGATATCATGGTCTTCCCTGAGATGACACTCAATAGCGTGAATTCACTTACATATGTGCCTCCACCCGAGAAAAATGCAACTCCCTGTCTGGACGACCCCTCGGCCGAATACTATCATCCCTTCTTTGTGGAGATCTCCTGCGCCGCTCGTAAAGTCAAGCGATACATTGTGATCAACATCAACGAGAAACAGCTCTGCTCCGATACGCCCGAGGACACGCGTCCTTGTGCCTCTAATGGACACAATATCTTCAATACGAATGTGGTCTTCGATCGGAATGGAGCTGTTGTTTCCAGATATCGTAAGGTTCATCTGTACTTGAATGAGGCCCGGAACACAACAGTTCTACCGGAGGTCGTTACGTTTGACACCGACTTCAATGTGACCTTCGGACATTTCATTTGCTTTGACATCGCATTCTATGTTCCCAGCGTTGAGTTGGTCGTGAAGCATGGCGTTCGGGACTTTGTGTATCCGACTAAATGGCACTCGCAGCTGCCTTTTTACACGGGTTAGTATGATCAAATACTCTCAAGATTTGGTCTACATCATAGTATGGTTATAATATTTTCTTTTTCATTCGCTCTTCGTTACCCACTCTTTTCTGTATAGCTGTCCAGGTGCAGCTGGGCTGGGCTTATGGTAATGACGTGAATCTTTTGGCAGCTGGTGCCAGCCGCATAGAGTACGGCAGCACCGGCTCAGGAATCTACAATGGAAGGAAGGGAACTCTTACGAGTGTAATAAAACTGACTGAAAACGAACGCCGCATCTACGTGGCCCAGGTCCCCAAGTACAAGAGAACAGAGCAAAGGCGACAGCATCGAACCGTTAGTCAGATGCGGAAACATGTACGGCAGCCCACACCAGAGCAGAAGACCCAGACAACCAGCTCAGGATTCGTGATGACTCGGGACTATATCGAGCAGTACAATACCACATGGATGAGTCTGGAGTACGCCGGAAATGCGACAGCCAATGTTTGCCATGGAAAGCTGTGTTGTCACTTCGAGCTGGAGTGGAACGAATTATTGAATATGGAAGTAGGCAATAGAAGGATATTCGGCTATCGACTAGGTGCCTACGACGGCTGGCGAAATGAACCAAATGTAGATCCCAACTATGTTCGCAACTGCGGAATCTTCGCCTGTAGCGGAGTTACTCTTGACGATTGTGGATATATGTTGAGCCCAGACCAATTACGCTTTAATTTAAGTCGATTAGTTATTGAGGCCAAGTATCCGAAGAGTGAAGAGATTCTCCTGATGCCAAACAGTGTAAGGGATAATCTATTGCCCCTCGAGCCGTCGCAGTTCGAGTGGTCCGTTCAAGAGGAGGAAGACAGGTGAGCTAGAAAGATTTGACCATTAGGATATTGAGTAGCTAATTCTCTTCTCTTCAGCCACATGCTGAATGTTCGCTTTGCACTGGCTAAAACCGAGTCGTTGTCCAACCTGTTGTCCTTCGCTATATTCGGAAATTACTACGATGAAGTTTGTACTTATGGCGCGGGCTCACCGGAGAAGGATCTTGAATGTGGCTATAAGCCCACTGGTGATGGCGCTGCCCAGCTGCGTTCCTTCGGCACGTGGCTGTTGGTTTTGGCTGTTGGTTTCATTTTCCATCTTTGCAAGTAAAGCGTACCTCGAAAAGTCTCTGCAGATTTGAAGCAATAAAGAGAAAAACTTGTGTTTCAGCTTTGCCTTAAATTATTGATCTTTCCTTTGTAAAAAGTAATGCACTCTAGGGATAACAATGCTCAATTTATCAGACAAGCTTTAGGAGAGAAGTTTTAGATGCTATGTCTAAAAGTATGCAATTCCAATATCTATAAAACGAATATAACAAAGAGAGAGCGAGAGAGAGAGAGAGAGAGAGAGAGAGAGAGAGAGAGAAAGAGCGAGAACGCGAGAGCGTGTGAATTAGAAAGGGAGAAAGAGTGAGTGTGCTCTCTCTTATGAGTCAGCTCATCTGAGGTGATTAGGCCGTGCATTATTCATATAATTCTAAGTGGTCGACTTGGACATACCCTGTAAATATATGTACCCTATTAATATTTCATGCAATATTGTGCTATCATAAAAGTTCTCTTATCTAACAATAATTAGCATATTATTCCAGCACCATATAAATATCAAATTTTGAAGCTATTACAGCTGTAGTCGAACACTTTCAATGGTCCCACCCTAGCCTAGAGGGCGTGACTGATAAGAACAGTTAATAGACATCCATAAAAAAAAACTTAGATAAGAGAGAGTATCGACACCCGTAACGATCATAAATCCATTATATCGGATAATTGGACTGTAGCCTGATAGCTGACACACCAACATACATATGTGTATATATGGGTAAAGCCAATCGAAATCGTTGCTTAAATAGTTTGCTCGGCTGTCCAATGTACAAGCGCCGAAAAAATAGCTGAGTTATCAGATTATGCATTCGCTATACGCATGAAAACATTGAAAAGAGGTGATATTATAAAAATTTGATTTACACAACAGTTTGTTGATACTCTATAATTAGATATCTCGCTCATCAGCTGTTCTTTCAATAAGGAGAGTACTTCCCAGATGGATCTTCAATTGATGACTCTGAGTGCTTCATGGTATTTGTATACTTCTTGGAAACACTGTGCACGGGTCGGCGATCATCAAACAAAATAAATATTGACATTCTTGTCGCGTGCAAAATCGAAAGGCGTGCAAAATCAAGCTACCAGAACGATATTTGTCGCACCGAAGTTGAAATACTCTTATATATCATTCCTGATTCTCAAGATGGAACTTTCAGATATTTGTGAGACTATACATTTTTGCCATGGAGTGAGATCTGTCGCATCTGGACATCTGATGAGGAAACGAGTTTTTCATCTAACCCAACGACCTATAGGAACACTATGGAAAAATGTAGTGCAAGTTGTTGCTAGTGCTGATTAGATAGATGATTTTCGGTTTTGGATTTGGCTATAAAAGAGTTTCCGTATCGCCGACTGTATCCCAGTTCAACGTTTGCCGATGAGCAAGGCAGCAACAGCACATCCAAATGGCCAAGAATGTGACTAGCGCTAGCAGAGCGTCGCAGCTGCTGCTGCTGCTGCTGTTGGCTGTTGGAATCAGGCTGAGTCAGCAGGTGGGTTAGCAGCCCCGCTAAGCGTTAGCGGCTAATCGTAAGTTGGCTATTCGCAGGCGTCGATCGGTGAATCGGCCAGCGAGAGTTTCTATATGGCCGGCGTTGTTGAATTCCGTCATGCCAATGGGAACGATGTCCATGCGAATCTGGCCGACAATTTGGCTGGCTACTTGGAGTTGATCAACTCGCCGAATGCCAGCGCAGTAGACATCATCGTCTTTCCTGAGATGACTCTCAATAGCCTGAGCACTGCCAGCTTTGTGCCGTCGTCCGATGCGGAGGTAACACCCTGCCTGGACGATCCCTTCGCCAGCTACTATGAACCGTTCCTTGTCGAGATCTCCTGTGCGGCTCGTAATGTCAGAAGTTACATTGTGATCAACATCAATGAGAAACAGCTCTGCTCCGATACGCCCGAGGACACGCGTCCTTGCGCCTCAAATGGGCACAATATCTTCAATACGAACGTGGTCTTCGACCGGAATGGAACTGTTGTCTCCAGATACCGCAAGGTTCATCTGTATGGCGAGCC